GGCCTTCAACACTCCCAGGAAGGAGCATCCAGGCACTCACACTCCCTCTCTCTCTCTCTCAACCACACACCCCTGCTCCCCGAGAGCCCCGGTAGGTCGCACAGCATTGCAATGACTGTGGCAGTTCAACACATTTGGACCAATTTGAATCAAAAGATGACACTCCCCTCTTTAGTCAAACTACATTAACCTAACCATTTCTGGTGACACCAGAAGTGCCAGTAGGGCCTTTGATAAGATGGGGCTCTCTAAATGTGACTCCAATCAGCAGGTTGCCTTCAACTCCAACCAGAAACCAATAATTTCACAGTACACCTCACTGAACACCTCAGTAATTTAGAGTAGTGACCAAGTCACACAGACCCAGGACTACTAATCTTCACAGAGGGACAAGGCAGCTGCCTCCAGGACAGGTATGTTACAGAGATCCGAGACCCCACTATTCTCCAAGGACAGGATGATAGGTCTGGGAGATGCTCTCATACATGTCTTCTCCCCTTCTTCCTTTCAAGTCATGTTTCCATTTGACAGCTGAGACAGACATGATCTGGCCTCACAGGCTGACCACCCAAAGTGATCTTTGCCACCCAGATCAAACCGTCACCAACCTGGCACATTCAGTGTGTACTCATGGGACCATCAGCCACAGAGACTTCCTTGCAGGAACCCCACAGACATGTAGTCACAGGAACCTCTATCAGGCTGGCTCTGAGAGCGCTTCACTCCCCCTGCCAGAAGGTTAAATACTTTCTATAAGTTAGTGCAATGCAGGTTGCTCACAGAAAGCCATGTAATTCAGGATTATTGCCTATATTTCATTACTTCCAGAAAAATCTTCCCCCATTAAAAAAAAAAAAATAAATGGGGAGCCTCCCTGAAGGACACAAACCCCTACACATCATACCAGTCATTTGTTTTGGGGGGGATATCAATTTCTTTCTTATTTCCAGACTTCTAACAACAGCAAAAAATGCATCATAAGGATTGTAATGCTTTTCTGCAGTATACAGAAAGAAAATTTACAGTCCCAAGAGAAACTGAAAACAAATTTCTAAAAACAGTTGGAACATAAATTGCCTTTTTTGCAAAACATGCAAAATCCATACAGAACAGCAGTGGGAGGATGCAGAATCAAGTTTATTGGACTGCACACAAAGTTTTTTGTAAAGCCTAATGAGCAAATAAAAAGCTTTTATTTTTTTTAATTATAAAAAATCCCTAACAAATGTTCTACATGATCCCTTGAGGAGTCATCCTTTTTCCTGCTCTTTGCTGGAAACTTTCTTGACAGCTGTCTCCTTCCTTATAACAGTTTACCAAGAAAGACATAGGAACACTGATGGCAAAACCTGAAGTGAGTCTTGCAGAAAGCAAGAGATTAAGATCTGAATATTCAAAAAGCCCATTTTACTAACCGTTTTGAAGATAATAAACTGTACCAAAAAAAAAGAAAAAGTCAGTAAATTACACTATGAAAATCCATAGTCTTCACGTTGGCATTGTCTTTGCAATGACTCTGACTCCAGAAACACAGAAGGTAACAGCCTGCACTTTAAGGCAACTATTTAGTAGCAATAAATAGCCAGACTGCAACCTGTAAAATTATTAAGAACATGAAAAGATGGAGAAACAAATAAAATTAAATAATTTTAGATTTAACCTGTCCTTATATGAGTCCAAATTAAGAAAAAATTAAGAAAAACCTTTATCAGGAGTGGGTAACATTGTGCCCAACCCTTCTGCCTCGCCCAGGCAGCTGTATGCAGCTGCCTGAAAAACCCCAAAGCAGAAGCCGAGGCACATTAGTTAAGCATTCATCATCAACAGGAAATGCGCATGAGTTCATATAAACACAGAAACACAAATATATAAACCAACAGCCTTGCATGGTTTAAGGTATTTCAGACACCCCATGGAATAGGGTTAGAGTTGTACCGGCTAGGAACCCACAGCATGGAGATATTTGTTTTGGAATTGTGAACAGCCTCAGGACTCAGAAGAACTCTTCTGGTGGGCACCACCAACCCACCCACACACCTCCCCTTGCTACCACAGCCACCCAGCACCCCTGCTGCTCTTAACTCTTTCATCACCTCCAGAGCCAAGCTCAACAACCCTGGCTGTCTGTGCTCAGAGGAATGAGCACATGTGTCAAAAAAAAATAGCACGTGTGTCTCAAAGCATCTCCAAGAAAAGTCTGTGACCGTCGTTTGCAAACCCTGCTCCAAATATACTCACATGCAGACACTGCAATGCAACTGCAGTGTCTGAAGGATTTTCTTTGGCAAGGTGTTGAGTTGCCTTCAAACCAGTGTCACAGGCAGTTAGATGGGATGGACGTGGATAGCACAGGGCTCCTGTCAGATCTGGACACCAGCACTCACCTTACAGGGAACCAGGCGAAGGGACTGGGCATCCTCCCTACACAAATCATCTTTTTCCCCACCCCAAGTGTTTTCATTTGTGATGAGGCTTAGGGCTGAGGGGGCCTCAGAGCTCCCCTCGCACTGGAGGTCCCTCACAGCTGTGCTCCATCCAAACAGGTGGTGAAGGCTGAATCTGGCTCTGCCCAAGTTTAAACTGCTAATTAGTATTTGGTCTCAGAAGCTTGATATCAGGTAATAAAATTTACAGGCATCAGGAGGACACAGAAACAACAAAAATGGAGACAACCCCAGTTCCAGACAGGCTTGAATTTTCTGAAGCACCGGTAGGTTGCTTATTTCCTCAAAAGAGTCTATCTGCCTCTATCATTTTCTGGATGAGATACAATTTTTCCTGTGCCAGTGAATTAAATGGGATTTCTGTTTGGATTTCAGTGGTCTCTGAAACTGCACACTAAAATGTCTCAACTTTGCTCAGTACTTTGTGGCTTCAGTCTTCCCATATTGCACAGTCAGAAATAAACTAGATGATCTTTAAGGTCCCTTCCAATCCTAACCATTCTATGATTCTATGATTTTTTAAACTCTTTCTTGCCTCGACAGCCTGCACTTTCATTCTGCCATATAACTGTCCAGCCACTAGAAGTGCTGGTGACCTTGAAAGTTAGGCCATGACGAGTTGGGTGACACTCACTATCCCGGTAGCTGCACACTTCCAGGTGACGTTTCAGCTACAAACACATCACCAGAGAGCAGACACGTCACCTTTGGACTTCCCAGCCTCCACTACCCTGGGTTTGCTGTACCCCTTCTGACCATGGCTGCACACCATGATGCTGCCAAGCTGCTGGATCAGCCCTGTATTATATTTTTTGACAAAGTGAAGCTTTGTGCTTCATTTCTCACAAACGCAGTTTGACTGTAGACAGCAGTCGACAAGTAAATCTACCCTTTTCCATGGCAAACAGCCCAACTTTAATATTTTTACTGGCTTACAGCTGGGTAAATTAAGCCCCAGATTTTTATTTATTTATTTTTTAATACCGTGCAACTGAAAATGAACAGCTACTTCACTATGACTGCCAAGGACAACCTTAAAAACACTAATGCAATCCAGTCCAGCTCTCAATAGATCTATAAAGGCTACAGGACCAAAAAATTCAGCTTATCCACCCAAACAAAATGTTGGTTGGGCAGGAAGTCTAATATTTCGTTAAGGTCCTTAAAAAAAAAATAAATAAATAAAATCTGCATGCTGGCAAACTGAAGATGGTAAAAGTCTCAGTTATAATGCCATGAAATGGTAATTAAAACTTGCTGTGTTACTTACCCCAGCCTTCCCAGCATTTCCAGCTCTGGAACTTGTGGTCCATATGTCTCCACTTGCAGAGGCTGATACTCATACAAAGCTTCATCTAGTTTTTGAATGGGAGCTAATGAAATATGCTGACCCTGTTTTAAAAGAAAGAAATAAATAACGTAAAATATTTCTACATATCAGGTCAAGGTTTTGTTTTGATTTTTCTGAAATGCAATGCAAGAACAAGCTGATACCATTAACCTGGTCCAGACAAGGACCATTCCATTAAAAACATGCTATCTATTATATCACTCATTTCTTCATGATTTAATTTTTTTACTGGGATCTACATTTTGGAAGTAATGTTTCATTAGCTATAACTGTTTGGACAAGGTAGGAAGGAAGGAGGAAAGTTTTATTGAAGGCAGGCTTACTGTTAGAGAGTGCAGCTGCTTCCAGTGTCACTAATAAAATTATTATTAGGTAAAAATTTCGATTATCAGAAGTAATATCAAACAAATGTCTCTGAGCAACCCTATTTGATTCTGTAATCAATGATTTCCTGAAAGCCCTAATTAGAAAGGGAAGCCGCTTTCATTTCTCTCCGCAGGCTTTGTAAGCTCCCATATATAATGGCTCTCAAGACAGAATTTTACAGCGCAATACAATTAATTCATTCAGCAAATTCCCATTTGTTTCATAACTAAAAATACAGAAACACACAAACATAAAACTTTCATTCCAGATGGTACTTTTGCAAGCCCTTCAGACCACTGAGAAACAGCTAGACATTTTTCTCCCCGCTCCAAGTCCCTGTCACTCTGAGCTCTCACAAAACAGGAGACTTGTGGCTGGAAAGGAGGGGTCAGGAGGATATGAGATAGAGCCAAAGTTAACAGATGTTGCTGCGTGACATTCTACACTGATTTGTTGATCTTTCACACAGTTTCAATTTTCTACTCTATTCTACGGTGCTCACAAAAATTAGCAGCAGCAGCAAAAAGACAGAGCCCTATGAGCTCCCCCAAAACAGCCCAGCTTCCCCTGCAGAAACTGAGCTTCACATCTGCAAAACGCAGGAATTTAGGAAAGTAGCAGTATTGTTTTTGTAGACATTTTGTCTGCAACAGGAGATCGGAAGCTTTCCACGGTGTAATGCTGCGTAGAAGCCTGGCTCCCACTGGTGATCACTTACTGAGCTTCACTTCCCTGGGGCCGCTCATGTAAGTATCTACTCGCTCAAGTGGAAACTAAAAGCTCCTAACGTGGGACACTGGGTTAAAATTAACTGAAGAGACAAAAAAAAAAGTCAGTAGAAAGGGAAAGCTGTTAATTAAATTTGTGGTTGAGGACAGCGACCTTTCCGAATTTGGAACATGGATATTTTTGTTTAGAGTTGCAGAAAATAGCTAAAAAAATTGAAGACATAAGTCCTTGAGAAGTCCTATCATGGATCTAGGCTGATCTCTATGGAAATATCAGCAGCTCGAGTTTTCCACTGGAACAGCTCTGTGTGTGTGATGAGAACAGATAGTTCTGGCCTTTTTCTGCGCTGCCCAGGAGCCTGGCAGGGCCGCTGCTATCACCCAACGCTGCGGTGACAGTGTCCTGAAGGCAAAACCTGCTGAAGAAAGTTCTCAAGTCAGGCATGAGCCACTCCACTGTCACAGTTAGCATACTGTTATTTCTGTGCCACAAACTAGTGCTGCGACATTAAAAGCAGGCAATCACACATTCAAAAAAAAAAAAAGGTTAATCCCATTTCATGATATATTATGATACAAAGGCAAGGTCTTTTTATATTGCTAGAAGTTGTCAATTTACAATCTATTCAAGTTTATGAAAATATTATGTTTGGTAACAACGTTCATGTGGGCGTGTTACACTCACTGTAAGAAATTAATGTTTAAATAAGACTTTGAGATTTAAATTTTTAACAATATCTTTGTCTCTAAGCAAAAAAAGAGATGTCAACATTTTACACATGTACACCTGGTGAGTGAAAAGCCTCAGTCTTTCCAAATCCAGAGCTGGAATTTTATTCCAGTCATAGAAAAGAAAATTCAGTTTCAGGCAAAGATCAAAACCATGATAAATATTTTGGGAAATTACTTGTGTGTGGAAAAAAGGAGCAGCTCAGATTGCAGGAGCCACAACTCTGGAGGGCATCACCAGAACAGCTGCTCGCTGTTAGCAGAGTTGCCACTGGTGCATTCCTAACACTTTTTTAACAAGTGAATTCTGCCAACGTTGGCCAAGAGACACAGGAAGGCTCCCAACAAATAGACCAGGCTCATCACAAGCCTCTTTCCCCACCACCATTTATGCTGCTACAGATGCCCACCTCTGTCTGGGGACTCCTGGGAGGACAGGATGAAAATGTTTCATTTGTCTTCCCCTCTCTCTGTGCGGTTCCCAAGGTGCCAGGGGTCAGAAGGAATCATGATGGTCATTTACTTTCGGATGGTCAACCAGTAACTGCAAGGGATCTGCCTATGAACGGTGGGGAGACTGACTGGTCAGCACAAACTGGATGGTGGGCAGTGGTGTCTGTGTCATGGAGAACCCACCAAGCCAAGCCAGGACCTTTCTGTGAAGCACAGTATTGTGAAAACAACACGCTGTGGTGGCCCAGAAAGCAGAAGCAGAACATGGGAAGAGAAGCAGCATATAGAAACTGTCCATCCTTGAGCTCATCTCCTGTCCTGCGCAGACCAGGATATTTTGTGTTCCTGTACAAAGCCCATGGACTGGCAGTTCAGTCAAAGCACCTTCTTTTGAAGGGCATCCAATCTAGACTTAAAGGTTTCAGATTATAAAGGTCCAGGCACATCCCCTAGGTAAGTGCCTGGGGGCACTAGTCAATTACTAGTCAATTGACTAGTCCAACAGTCAATTATCTCCACCATTAAATATTGACAGCTCATTTCTGGTTCATCAAGATCAGTTTCAAAGCACTGGCCTCTCCTACACCTTCCTCACCTGCATAGAGGGCCAACGTGCAAGTGTTAGGGACCAGTACGTAATTTTGCACGGCAAAACGACTGCACTGGTTTGTGTCCAGCCAGCAGATCTGCACCTCAAGGAGATGGTGCAGTTGTATGACACAGCTCATTTGGTTTTGTTTCCCAAAATCACAATGTTAGCTGATGGGCTTGGCAACATAGATTACATTCCTCTTAGCAACGGGGGGGGAACAAACCATGACTGGCTGTTGTTCCTGCCCGTAGCTGCCCAGCCTTGTAAAGGCTTTTTCCTACAACTGGATTTTAGTCTGCCCTGATTTGGGAAAGGGTTAGATGGAAGCATAAGAGTCACAACACACACGCCCACCTAAAAGAGGCTGAAACCTGGTCAAGCCCTGCAACCCCATTAGCTCTGTAGATGTTTTGGATATGAACAGGCTGTACCTACACTGCCAACTCCTCGCAATGTAGTTAGAGAGGTGTGGCCATGCAGGCTCCTGAGCACAGGGGCTTCCAGCTTGTGTAGCCCTGTGCAGGTTACAGCGTGGTCACAACACCGGGTATGGCACAGAGCGGTGCAAAAAAGGCTGGGATGGAAACCCATGACAACTTACCAGTGACAAATGTTGCCTTTCCTGTTTCCACTGATGTTGGAATAAGGTGCATTTACAAAAAATTTTGTTGATGTTAAAAGGCTCAATCTGAGCGATATTATCTCAGTTAAAAGCCATTTGACCAGTAGCATCTCAGTTTTATCTCTCCGTCCTGAGTGGTCCCTAGCCAGTTCATAAAAGACTGGTATAAAAGAGAAGCTTTTGTGTAACTTCAGAGACATCACAAGAGACACTAACTGTTACTTAGGACTTACACAGCACTTTTACAGATCCAAAAACCATTTCACATCTATGAGGTAAGATTTTTAAATTTCCTGTATTCCACCTAGACAACCAGCCTTACCTCTTTCCAGCATCAGGAGGCATTTATCAGCATGCTAAAACCAAAATGAAAGCAGTGGGTCCAAGATCCTGCTTTTGCATTGCTCTCTCCTGACAAACCTAAGATCTGACGTTGTGGTCATGGGTAAGTATTTCTAATTCCCCTTGGATGTTGTAATGTTTGTGTAAAAGAAGCTGACAGTATCCAAATGGAGATAGAAAAGGCTTCCAAGAACACAGACAACAGATTTTCCTGCCTCCCCTCCCTCCCACCCCTATCTTCCAGGCATACAAGTTTTTTCTCAGGGATTATTTTAGGCACCGTAGCTGTCTATTACATTTTGGAATGTATGGAACCACAAAACACACTGCTAATTAGAAGGAAGGCATTTGCTTATCCTTGTGACTTTGTTTATGTAAAAGACTGCACAGCAATGGATTTGTGAGGAACTGACTTTCCATTCATGTACCGTATGGTTTTAGATGAGACATTAAATTGGGAGAGGGGTTTAAATAATGCCTTTGCATTACAAATAAAACAGACTGGCTGATTTACTTTTCACTATCCTAGATATACTGTTAGAGACATCTCTCAGTTTAAATAATAAGAAACAAAAGCAGTAGCCAATTTTTGTTTCAGGCTGTGATACAACATGGCATGAAGGGGGGAAAAAAAAAAAGCTGTGGATTATATACAGAGAAGAGCTGTCCTTGCAATGACAAGGAGTTAATTTTAAACAAAAACTATGTCCTTTTAGGAAAAGTCACAGCTATTAGAACATCAAAATTATAATGTACCTTTCACACAGGGGTTTGGGGGGGGGACTCTTGGCAAATGCCAGGTATATCAGTATTTGCCTGCTAGCAGAAAGAGGTTATTTTAGCACAGAGAGTCCAGAAATATCAGCTCAAAGTGCAGTGTTCACACTTCTTCCGTCCTGTTGTCTCTTCCTTTCCCTGTCTCCAAAATGACATTGCCTTCCTTCACCTCCCTCCCTCAGCAGCAAAAAGAAATAACAACTCCCAGTCTTCTCAGAAATCTCTGAAGTGCCAAGAAGGAGTAGAAAGGAGACTGACACCAAAAATGTACTAGTAGGGGAAAGAGAAGGAACAGCTATGCCACAAAAACATCCCCAGGCAAGAGACAGAAGCCAGAGACTGGGGTCAGTAAAACTTGTCCAGACAAAGCATGTTTCTGTACTAGATGATGGAGCCAATCTTTTTGCTTTTTTAATTTCTCTTTGCTTGGGA